AAGGCTCTCTCTTTCTTTTCTTAGGCCCGCTACTAAAACAGAATTCGCACCGGCACTTCGTCCGCCGGTTCTCTTAGACGGGCACACGTCTCAAGGGAAGCGCCGCCGTCGAGGGTGTCAGCGACGACAAAAGACGCATCGTTATAGTGATCCACGAGGAAAGTTTGCGAGCCATTAGAGACGGCGAGAACATCGAAAATTGCCCGTGCTGGCGAACGCACGATCGCTTAAGTAACTTCAGTTTGGAAAAGATATTTGCGAGGAAGATCGTCTCTGAGAAAGTGAGATTTTGATAAGACCATCCCAAACACACTCTGCGCGGTTTCGCGACAGCAGCGATGAACCAATCTCGTTAATTTTGTTTACCAAAACCAAACGTTCTGCTCGACATTCTTTAAGGATAGCTGCGTAAAAAATGGCTGTGCTGAGATGTTCCAATTTTTATTCTGTCTTCAAATTCTTATATTTAATTATTTAATAGAACGATCTAATACTGAAGTATATAATAAAAATAATTAGCCAGATACAGATCTGAAAGTAATTCTGTCGGATTAAAAAAAAAGTAATTACGTAAGACTTTCAAGCATAATGAGTAATATTGTATAGTAAGTTTTGACATTCTAGCAATTAGTTAAATTAGTTTAAACATTTTACATAATTATTTTAACGATTCGACAAAATTAGTTTCAGATAGCTAACTTAATTTTCAGCAAAATCGTTCTTTGCGTGTAGTTAAGTTAACGACATATCAAGGAGACACGCGGTAGCGTCTTATTTATATAATATATACGAAATTTTGCTAAAGTGTTTAAAAATTTAGGTAGATACAGATTTAATAATTATTTTGTCGAATCATCAAAATACTTACATAGGAAACTCAAACGTGCTGTAAAAACTTTTCAACTATCCTCTATACAATTATTTTGACAATTCAGCAAAATTATTTTCAGTTCTGTATCCGCAGCTAAATTAGATACTTGAGCAGAATCGTTCTTTCCGTGGATAGAAATACCTAACTAAAAATAACTAAAAATGAATAACTGAAATTAGATATAAGTTGTATAATAAATTTAACAGGGCGAGCTTCGATATGCACTTTCGACTCTATTTTTCGACGAAACGACTGCGACGTAGAAAAGAAAAGAAATGGAAAAAGACAGCAACTATTGCCATCTTAGACCACATGTTATCCCGCGTTCCCAGGATGGTAAGCAGCGCGCTGGTATCGGCGCAGCCGATCGTGAACCGTGGCGGTTCGATGACTTATTTCCACGATCGGCGCAACGACTGCGCGTTTCCTGATCGAGGTGGACCACGGCGCGACGTGGCGCGGCGGAGCGGCGGGGCGGGAGACGCGGCGAGCGTTTACGAGAAAGGGATGAAGTCCGGGCGTAAGTAACTCCGCGGCGCGGGACTACCGTCGTCGTCGGTGTGGTCGCGCAACACGGCGCACACTTGTCGGGAAAGGAGATGCGCGGCTCCGCGGTATAATGAACCTGGGAAACCGGTTGCATTCGCGCGAGCGCGCGAGCGTACGTACAGATCGATTCGCTCTCTCTCTCTCTCTCTGTACTTGTGTGTTACATTATGCGAGCCGCACGCTGCATTTCCCCTCATCGAGCTTTCGCGTTCTGCCCGCGCGGCTGCGGTTTATTCGCAAATATAAACTCTTGCGCGCTCCCTTTATCTCTCCCTCTCTCTCTCTCTCTCTTCGCTTCCTTTTTCTTTCTCTCTCTCTTTCGAATGTAAATTCCGTCCGATTGGAAAACTATAAATACCTGTAAAGAACTTATTGGCAGATTCCGATTTTATTAAAGCACCCATAAAATTGATCAATTGTTTAATACTAAGGAAAGTGTGTATCGAGTGAAATGATTGTATTTTAATTTACTAACGATTTCAGAGAAGTGTATTAAAAATCAACAGAACCAGCTGAAGAGAGATAATTGATACGCTTATTATCTCCGTGATGTTCGGATAGAAACATTTTTTTAATATACGTGTATCTAATTTTAATTATATCTATATTCCTTAATCTCCGAACGTGTGATTCGATAAAATTTTCCGTTAATTAAACAATATATTAATATTAAATTTCTATTTCATAAAATATATATTAATTTAATTAATCAAGTATAATATTAATAATTAATTTTGGGTTCATACATAATTTCTTTCTCGCTCTTTCACAGGCATTTTTACATTTCTACGGGTATGATTGAAGGTGAAAGTTGTGGTGACATAATCTGCATTGAATTTTAATGTAATTGAGACGCGAAAACTCATTAATAGTATTCGAGACAAATTTATATTTAATTGCGTGACTATGAGAGAATTCTCTCTAGGAAAATGTTGCATTATTTAAAATCAAATACCGCGAATTAATAGACTGCGATCGAGCGGTTTCGAATCTATCGATCTCTTTGAAGAAACAAGGAATATAATAGTAGAATAGAGTTCGATCACGGTTCGGTGACGGCTTAACGCCTCTTCATTCAGCGAATACACTGTTATAAGTTTATACTCATAATTATAGAGCGTCGAGTCTTATGCAATGTGATAATAATATAGTGCTATCTCTCTGCGACCTATATAAAGAGATATTCTTATAACGTAAATGCGTCCTTAACCCTTTCATTACTGAGAAACGCGACGAAATGTAGCCAACTGCACTTATAACGGTAATGAAAGCCACATAGGCTAATCTAAATCCGGAAAGCGGAATTACACCTTTTCCCATTTTTCCAGAGTTCCGCTAAGATTGATCGACCGCATTGCTGTTTCGAGCTCTACTTTTGTTATTTACAATACGCGATTTAACGAATTGTCATCTTAAATTCGTTGTCTTATTAAGACACTCTTTACATCAGCAAGCATAGATAAAAACAAGTAAATTACGAAAGATTACCAGCCATTTCTGATTTATCCGTAAATGCCGAAAGACACATTGACCTTTCCATGAATGATGGCCAGGCGACGAACGAGGCCCGGTAGTTAATTGGCTATCAGCCGGAGAATTTCACGGGGACTCTAGAAATTCTGTGGCAACCAATTGCCCATTAAGGTGTCGTCCACTGGTGACCAGAAGGCCAATCTCGATCCCGCGTTTCGGATTCTCAACGCTCGTAGGAAACGAGAGGGTGCAGGGTAAAAAGCGATAAGGGAAGACAGGTGCGAGAAAAAAGCCATCTTCAATTAAAGCGGAGCGCGCGAAGGGAACTTCCGGTCGTCGAGATCTTCCGGCTCACATCAGTAAACCGTTCCGGCGCGATAGAGCCGTGGCAGGGGGCGGCAGGGGGTGCGCAGGGTGAGGTAAGGGGGCTGTAGCAGGCGCAGGGGGTGGCGGGCTGGATCGCGCGACGAGAAGGCAGGGGGGCTGGAACGAGGGGTAGGGGACTGAAGAAAACACATAATAGGGTGGGGCGCTTTGCTGCCGCTTTTGAATCGATCCAACGCCAGCTACAGCTGGAACCTCATCCCACTGTAAAGAGGCAGCGGTGCTCATTCCTCTCTCTCTCTCTCTCTCTCTCCCCCTTTCCCTCCCGCCGCCCTGTTATCGTCACGCGAGGACTCGTACGTCGTGTACGAAATGTTCCAGGATCATGCGAGAACCTCCCAATGAAGGATTCTCGAGACAACTCGGCGCGATAAACTTTTTCGCCGATGGAGATGTCGTCGTATAAGCTCGTCGCTCGTCGCAATTTTAACATTACGTTCTGCTCGGTAGGCAAACTTCGAATGAGATTCCCCGGAGTTAGACTGGTAATTACGCGAAAAACAGAATGTTGTTTTTATTTCGTTTCTTTTACTTATACGCTTTGACATAAAATATCGCCCTATGAAATATCTTTATAAAAATTAGAGTTTCTTTACGGTTTCACGTCTCGACAATCAATAACGTTTCTTTTACGTTTCTCGTGCATTCATGATATTTCTGCAGACGATGACCGGTATAAGTGCAACCGAAATGAATAGGGTAGGTCTGGTCCATAAAAATGATAGAGATTGCTTTAAATCAGGTTTCGTAGGATCTCTAGAATAAATTCTATACACCTCTATGTACATGCAACGTGTGGAATTTGACTAACAATATGAATTGACCATGCGTCTCTTAATCCACGGTTGCACATGAAGAAAACCGGTTTGACGTGGATGTACGGTCAAAAGAAACTTTTTGCATCTTTCAGTAATCTGCAGCGGTTTCTCTGATAAGCAGCACTATTGAAAAAGTTTATTGCGAAATAAATGACGCGTCGTAGAAACGTGTACCACCGAAAGCCCATTCAAGTAACAAATAACGTGTCTACATTTTTTTTTAGCACCGGCTAAAAAATAGACGAGACTTAAAAAGAAAAACGGAACAAGAGATTTGAAAAATAAAAAGGTAGGAAATTAAATCCGATTTGCGTAATAAACCTATAAAAGTACTGCACATACTTCACACAAATGTTTTAAGATATATTAGCATTATGGCTAACACGGGGTTGATAACTATATCACTTTTATTTCTCTCTTATCTCCGATAATCTCGCTTTCTTCTTATTCAACGTTTTGTGAATTATTTATCACATAGTATATAATAATAGCGGACACGAGAAAAAGTTAACGGCGCTCTTTAATATTCCCTCTCGCAATTTTAAAGAAATTATCACACTACCAAATTAGATCGTATATGAAACGTTCGACACAATAATGGGCCAATTTTATAAACAAGCTTGTTTTTTAAAATATTAAAGTCTTAAATTAAGTTCAATAATTTTTCAGTTTCTATAATAATAAATATTAAAACTCTTTTGTATAATACTTTATTTTTAAATTATGCAAACAGCTATGATCGTTCTTGTAATTTTAAAAATCTTGAATAGACTAGATTCGAAATCGTATTGGATGGTTTATTAAAATTTGCCATTTATTGAAAAGATAACATGTTTCTACAAATTAGATCACTGTGGCATCGAATGCTTCACATAGATCATTCATGATTATCCTTAGGAACTCACCGTTGTTGTTGCGTAGGATGGAACCGGGACTGGTGGCCTCCAAAGGGCTGCTGGGCTCGTCCTTGGGTTCTTTCTTCACGCTGAAATGAAAAAGTATTCCGTATGTATTTAGACGAAAAGTATAGAACGGTATTAGTGTGAAGGTGTTTCAATTTTGAGCGCGAAATCCTTGGCTCAAGAAAGAATCGGCATTATTCGCCGTTCCGTTTGCCAGTACGGCCCTGGGATGCAATAAAAGATTGACCTAGTTTTGACTTCGATTCTCACTGCGAATCCGGCTTTAGGAAAAATTAATCAAGGCAAAAATGTGCAGTGGAGGATTGGAAAAACTGATAACGTTGAATATAGGTCTATTTTATGCGTATATTAACAATTCAATGGATTACGATAGATATTAATGTAAAATTATTCTTATCCGCGTTTAGATTTATTAAAATGATTATCTATATTGAGATATTCGACATCATAAAGTAATAGAGAAAATCAAAATTAAAACCCCTCATAGATCTTAAAAATATTCAAGATATATAAAATATAAATCAGTACTCAATTTAATCATCTCTCTATTAAATAACGATGGAGAGATATCTATCTCATGATGCATATCCAATTAGATCATGAAAAAAAGAACTCATTAACTATTTTATCAGAAAATTAAATTAATAATGAATTTATCAAAAACACTTGTTGAAAAGGAAAAACGAAAAATTTCATATAAATTAATCGCTTATTCAATTTAATCGCTTTAGGTTCCAAAGACAGCACTTTGTTGTCTCTCGGTAGCATTGCGATATCCTTCCTGTATCCTATATAGATTATTAGATAGACACCATAAGTGATCTTATACACGAAAAAATAACGGATCCCGTGCCTGTCACGCCATTCTCTCGTCGCCGCTATTCCTAGTATCGTCGATAATTATCGTCTTTATGGATGGATAGAACGAAGTGGGTCATCCGAAAATATCCGCATCTAAAGGTGTTCGATCACACGCGCCGGATTTTATTCGTCCTGGCAGTGTAATTTCGCGTCCTCGACCGACCGAGCGTGTGTTTTATAGCCGCGACACACGAGGAAGCATCGAGATATAAAATTTGTAGGGAACATATAGTACATCCAGTATATAACATTAATATAATTGCAAAGAAGAATCAATCGCAAGTTACATGCGATCTATCAAAGGAAAGCATTCTGACGTTATTACTGCTTGAAACTTGTAGATATTAAACTGTTAAAATCGTAATGTCAAATTATATGCGATTTTTATCATTTCTATAAGTCGCTACTGCCGTTAATTTAACTAAAACAATGGAATTAAACAAGTGAGTTGAACAATTTAATTCAAAAAACTATATTAATTCAAAATTGCTTTATTATTTACTAATAGTATACATTAATATGGACGTTGTTTACTTTGAAATTAATCACAGAGATGGATTCACATTTTGATACGCAAGGAAATTTTACCAAATATATTATAAAAACGAGTATTGTTTTTTTCCTAACATATAAATTATACGAAGCGTTTCACTTTCTTTCGGCGTATCAATAATTTTTAAGTAATTTTTGTGTGAATTGTGCTTGAAAAATTCAGTAATGACATTATGAAATTATTATCATCATATTTAAATTATTATATTTTAAACTAAATTGATAATAAATATACGGAACTATGTCTCGGTTAATTTAAAGCGGACTTCGATAGAATTTTAATTTATAGCCACGAAGATACATCGTGTTAAAAATAGACAATAAATGGAATAAAAGTTCTTCCGATTTCCAAGCTTACAGAAGGTGTATATGTGATACTTATACAGTGATTACAGAATCCGCCCAATTCCGCGTTACATGCGCGTTGAATTAATTAGTATTGATTACTCTGTATGACTGAGCTCGTACGCATAATATATAGATACAGTTGATAGATTTATTTATTAATATTTATTTATTAATCAAGTATAGGTACGAGATGAAAGAAATTGTTAGGATCAGTTACTCGGCAGCTACATCTATTTATTAACGTAATGATTAATTCGAGTATAAAAAGACCTTTCGAATATTTAAGAGAGAGATTTAAATATTTAAAAATATTTTTATCTATATACGGGCAACGATTGAAAAATCTTTCGCACCTTATCGATTTGATTTTTTATCGAGACGATTCGCGATTTCTTCTCGATTTATTAATTATCGTGAACCGAAAACGCGAGAATAATTTTCACGCGATCGCCAAGTTCGGAACTCGACGAAGGTCCGCACATCAGCCTCAATTATGGAATCCACCAAGTGAGACTTAGTGATCTAATTCGAATCTCGAATTGAATTTTCTCGGACTTGAAATTCGTTTTCCTCGGCTGTCGTGCTCCGGGGATCGGACCCGACGTCCGATCGTCTAGTCGTAAGATACGGAGACGGGAGATACCTCGAGAGAGAGAGAGAGAGAGAGAGAGAGAGAGAGAGAGAGAGAGAGAGAGAGAGAGAGAGATGAGATATTCACGGCGGCGTGCCTCGATAGCTACGTTGTGTGCTCCGGCCACCTGCATTTTTAAATCAACAGAATGGAGAAGGAGCGCGCGCGGACTGGGAACGTCCGTAGGGGGCGGGAGGGGGGGAGGCGGTGCACTTAATGCGTGCATTATTAATCGGCGCTCGCGCGTATATACCCCGCGCGATCCCGCAAATATCGTGTATTTCCGCCGTCCAACCGTGATATCGCGCGCGTCACACACACGGAGCGGCCGCTGAAGGCCGTGTATACGCGCCACATCGTCGACGCGAGAGAACGAAATAATCCAAGGCTCAACAGGATTTCGGGCCGACGCTAGAAATTATAAACCTCCTCACTCTAACGTGTTTCCCGGCGAAATATTCATCGGACGAATTAAGTTGAGACATTATACGTATCTAAAGGCCAAACTCGCTGCAGACCCTCGCTAAGCATTGATTTATAATACATTCGATAACTGGAGGCGTCTTAAAAACAAGTACAAATAAGACCGAACGTCCGCGCGATGGTGGATATTTAAAAAGATCGCGAGATGTGCAAATCGGAGCGCACAGCTAAGAGCGGCTTGCAGCGAAAAGATATTTCGCTTCAAACTTTTATACTCAGCGGGATATTATATACGCGTCGTCAGGTCCGCAATTAACAACGTATATACATTCGAATGCATATTCCTTTGCGATCGGAGCTACGTATATGTTACCGTAATAATTCGACGTAACGTTTTGCGACGGTTGTTTAGCGATCGTCTAGATGTTATAAACGGGAAGGCGAGTGTAACATGGTCAAATTCGTCGTGAAACGGACGCGGATTGGAGGCGGCGTGTGCGCATGTGCGCACCGTATAAATTCGGTACGAGTTCAATTTTCAGCACTGTACGCGGAAACTGAATCTTACGCCGCGAGGGGACGTAATGAAGTGTTCGTTTTCGCGTGGCGATCGCCGGAATTCGAACTCGTCAAAATTACACACGGAGATCATCCCTCCCTCCCTCTCTCTCTCTCTCTCTCTCTCTTTCTTTTTCTCACAATCTTTCTCTCCGTTTCGATATGCATATATGCACATATATTATACGTGTATGTACCATGAGATTTTCTCACCTGATAAAAGTGGAGTCCACGGCAGGGCTGGAGGGTCTCGGCGAGGAGCTCGCGGTGGACGCCGTGTTGGTCTCCTCCACGTCCATCATCGTTCATACCGATGACGGCTATACCCACCACCAACACCAGCACCACCACCGCTATGCGATGTGCGATATACCGCGGGGGGGAGGAGGGGGTGGTGGGGAGGCGAGGGGGTGGGAGAAAGGGTTGATAACGAGCGACGAGTGCAGCAGCGCGACCGCGACGATCACGACGGTGGCGACGAGCCGCGAGGAGGTCGGCCGACGACGATGCGACGGGGCGCCGAGCAGAGAGTTACCTCGAGCAATCAGTCCCCGCGCGGGAAAAAAGGGATGGGGGATGGATGGGAGGGGGGGGCAGAAAGCACAGAATCGAGGGAGCTCAAGCCGTGCGACGGGGGATGATCGGGGCTGGTTTCACGCCCGTCGTCCGCAAGCGCGGGCTTACGGGTAACAACTGGCGAACGGCGCCGCCACCCCTACCGCCCCCTCGCGACACCACCGCGGGGCACCGCGATGCCTGGCGAACCTGCGACGCCGCCGAGCAACCTGCCGCGGTCGCGCAGGCGTCGCGACGCCCGAGATCTAGCCGAGGAACGCGAATCTCCCGAACGAAACCTTCGGAAAGCGGAACTACCCTAATTTGTTCCGATGAGCTTTTACCATTTAAATCGGAGCTCGGCTTTTGACATTTAGTGTCGAAAAAAAAACACATCGACGTTTTTAAAGGAATATATTTTACAAGAGATACGCGAAAATAGATCCTATTTCACTTTTAAATTCATAATGTCAAAGTATACAATTGAGTTACTTTTAATCGTATCTACAGGTCGCCACTGCTCCAATTCAGTATGTCGTTAAAACAATAAAGTTGAACGATTTAACTCAAGAAAATATATTCAATTAGATTCGAATTTATATAGTTTATAATATAAATTATAATTATTTTTACTATAAAAATAATTGTAATTTTTTCTTATGTATTTGTTGATTGAATCATATGTAGTTATTATTATTAACATTTTTTTTATATATAGCAGTAATAACTATAATTATGGTAATATGTAATTTTATTGTCACAAATACTAAAAATTTTTTCTCAATATATACGATATTAAATATATACACGTATCGATATTTTATACTATACGTACATTTACACGCATATTCTATATGATAATACTATTCGAGATGAAACTTCACAGATGCACGCGTTGCATTCGAACGCTTGAATGTCCCAGAATTAATAACGGTTTCTTCTTTCTATACCAATTTAATATTTATAATCATGTACATCAATAGTTACAGTGTTTAGTTACTCTTAATGTTTTCACAATGTTGTATCCACATTATAATTAAAATTCATCTCCATTTTCTTATTTTCCTATCTTCCCTGAATGATGATATCTAGCAAAAGTTTCTCCAACTAACAATGGAAATACCAAAGTAGCATCAGCGCATACCTGAGACAGAAACAGCAATGTCACTTGATAATCCGATCGACTGTCACTCATTTAAATTTAAATTTAGTAATTTAAATTAGGGCTCTAATTTTATTCCGTTTTTCCGAATACACGTGTAAACGTAAAACGTTTATCCTTTTATATTCGCTTTCAGAAAAACGTTTACTTGAAGGTAAACGTTTACACGTTTAATTAGCATACGAATATGCTAATTATACGCGTAAACGTGTTTTCATTTAAACGTATAATAGTTAATTACATTTCTAATAAACGGATATATTAATTATACGTGTAAACGTATTTTCGTTTAAATGTATAATAGAGAGTCCTAATTTAAATTTATCAACGGAGATAATGTGCGTGCGGGGATTACCTTGACAGGATCAGCGTCTTTCCGAATTTTTCCCCAAGAAATTGCTTCCTCGGGTCGAGCACCACTATCGCTGCCGTCGAATTCCGAGGAGGTATTGATGAAAACAGCATAATCCGCGCCGTTTCTCTGAAATAAAGTACCGTTATCATCGAGATTGTGACTACACCAAAATAACATGCCAAATAGAGTCGTTGTCTTACCATAAGATTAGCATTGCAGATGTGATGCTTCACAACACCGCCTCCAACAATTATCATGCCGCTGTTCACCGCTTTCATAGCTATCCTGTTTAATCTCTTGACGTCTGCGGAAGATGACAATTCATTGGTTTATATGGACAAATAAATATTACGCTGCCTAATCTGCAATAATGCTTTCAGTATGCTTTTTACTTTTTACATTTTTCTGCCTTTTACCCTGTTTCTTTGTTTTTCTTTTTGCTCAAGATAAAAGTTAATCAACTTTAGAAGAGATAAGAAATACATGACAAGAAACATGATTACTGATAAAATAGTAGTAAAAAGGAAAAAATGCAAGAAGTAAAAAGTAAGAAATAGGAAACAGAACATATTGTAAATTAGGCTTAAAACCAACCTGCGATAATATCGAGTATGAGCCCTGGATTTTTGAATGAATGAAAGAACATCATATCGCCAAGACTGCCGTCAGTCAACGCCGGGCAAAATACTGGTATCTTATTTTTCGCAGCCCAATAATAGATTGAATCTTCATGATTAATTTCTTCGCCGAGTCTTGCTATCATTTTAGATGGCGTCCATGAAGTGCCCTAAAAAGAAATTTAATTGTGAAAATAAAAAACGTACACTAAAAATTAATCAGTGCAATATAATAACTCTTATACTTTTGTTTTTTGTTCAGACAGCATTGCGTCTAACTTTGGCATTAGCCAATCTTCGAACAAGCAATAATTATCATTCGGTACTAATAAATTTCCAGTTCTGTTAAGTCCATTTTCTCTAAGTTTTCTATCATCCAGATAAAAGCTACCAACGTATGTAGGCGCTAAACACTTTATGAAATCCTCTTCTACTCCACCAGCTGTAGTTACGAGACAATCTACCTACAAAATAATTGTTTAATCACAAAATACAATGAAATTTTACCCCCTACTAAATGAAATTGTTGAATGTATGGATCTACCAGTTTATGTTGTACAAGAAATCTTATAATATCCCTAATGCCACTGGATACCATATTTGACGTATAACCCAAAAATATTGTACAATGATTTTTTCGTTGTATAAATTCATCTTCTTCTGTTTCATCTAACTGATCTCCCATGAGAAGTACGCTCCTTTGATGCAGCATACGATTTACTTCTTCAATCGCTAGCCCAAAATTTGTAGCTTGGAAACCACAACTTGTCATGGTTGTAAACAGTTCATGATAATTGATACCCTTATTAAAATCATAACCTAAACATACAATTAGTTATTATTTATATATTAACAGTGACAATTATTAATAGAAAATAAAACATAGATACCTTTTACTGGAGTTGTGTACGGTGATGAAGAGCTACTGGAAACCAAAACAGCACTTTTTGCCAATTCCTGCTCTTGTAAACTTTGTTTTTTTTCTGTGTCACCCATAATATTTCCGGTTATCTTAAAAAATACAAATAATAAATTAATAACATAGGAACTTAATGTGAGTTAAATTGTTAATACCTAAGGAACTATTGGCAAAATATAAAATATATGCAACAAATATATCAATCTGTCAAATAACAATATAACCGGTAAATTGCTGATTCTTTATAAAAAATCAGTTCAAAATACAGAATATTTTTTAATCGAATAACAGTAGGTTTCGAAACAAATAATTCTGAATGTGCACACGACACGCGTATATATTTAATTATACTAATTTATATTTATACACAATTTAATCCTAACCTATAAAAGTAACCTGCAAAGTCCATACGGTCTATTCTGTAAGCAGCCATATTACTTTTCAATGTTTACTGATCATAGTAATGAGTATAGATAGCGCACTTCTTATTTTTGCTATATCTACAGCCGGATCTACATAACACGCAAAAATGCAGAGAATGTGGATAGTCGCAAGCTTATTGCAACAGCTAATCTGATGCCTCAATTTTATTATAAATTTCCAGCTTTCGTCTTCCATGTTATAAATATCGAAATAATCCAATCTTTTATATATAGTTATATATATTTGTATAAAAAAGCTATAGGCAGTAAAAACATTTTTAACTTATATTAAAAACGGTCCACTATTCAAGTCCTTAGGTATATTGTTAACATTTTATGTTAAGTTTAATATTCGAATGTTTAATGATTATAATTATGTTTTTTTAAAATAAGTTAATTGTGTTTAATTGATATTCAACATTTCTTATAGTCAAAAAGACACAATTTATAAGTAATTGAATAAGTAACTTATTAAAAATATATAATGTGTTTTAAAATTTTATTTTTAATATTTCATTTTGATATCTTTTGGCCTGATATAAAAATTAAACAAGTAAGTACATTAATAATAATTCATATTTTTTTGTTACGTCCAAGCCCCAGGATTCTTTATTTCATAGAGAAATTTAGGAGTTAAGGAGGAGGACGCAACTGACACCGCTCCTTGTGCATCGTTATCGCTTCGAGATTCGAAATGCGTGCCACAAAAGTCACAGGTCACAGATGGCTGATGGGTGGGTCAACGTCGACGTGTGACGCTATATTACCCGATCTGTGACAGTGCCTCGGTCCCCTTTTTAGATCAAGGAACTTTTAATCCTTTTGACCAGAGATCGGACCGTGCGATTTCGTGGAACGAGGAATATATGAATCGAGAGTAGTTCCAAATAAACTACAGCGATTCATATAATAAAATAAGAAAAGATTTTATTTTTAATACATCAAAAATGAAATAAGAAGAAAAAAAATTAAGGAATACCTGACATATATATAAGAATACTCTAACATTTTTATAAATTATATAATTATTATAATTATTTTATATATTTATAAATTATCCTAAAATATTTCTATAAATTATTCTGACATTTTTTTACTCTAATGTATTTATGTATATCTCGCAGGATGTATATGTGTGTGTGTGTGTGTGATTTCGGTGGTGATAATGTGTCTTCTAGGGACTGAAATATTTCCGTTCGTTGAACGACTTATTTTCCTCGGTGGTGATGGGAGAATAGGATACGGGGATTTTAGGGGAAAGGGAAGATTGTACTAGGCCAGGAGGAGAAGGGGTCTCGTGGTCTGTTGAGTCAATGACCGGTATAGAGTCGGTAGTCGGTTTGTTATCAATTCTTACTTGACGACGAGTCCTGTAAAACTCCTGACACACTGACTCGCTCAAGAAGGTCCCTGTCTGGACCTTCTTGATTATGGGGACTCCCAACCGGCGCAGGGTCTCGATCTTTTTTCGCTTGCGACGTCCCGCCCGATGTTTATTGTTATAGACCATCTAACATTAAACAGATTGGAATTGTTGATTATTGGTGGCGTTTAACCGCTATTAGTATTCGGAAAGAAGAAGAAAGGTAGTTGCAAGAAAGAGTTTCTCATAGCGATTTACCGCTTTGAGTAATAAAGAAGTGAGAGAAGAGAAAGATACTCGTGGCTATTTACCGCCCTAAGTAGTAATAATAAAAGTTACTCGTGGCGATTTACCGCCTTTTGAGTGGAGATAGGAAAGAAAAGAGGAGCCACTTGGGGAGGACACAAACTGATAGACTTAGATGGTCAAATTTTAAGTTTAATAAGAAAAGATAAAAATGACTTACTATTAATATCGTTTAGAGAAGTCTTCAGTTCACGGAATCTCCGGGGTTGTCCTGTTGGGAGGTACCGACGATGGTCAGGAACCTTCGAGCACTCCGCGCACTGATTGTAAATTTTAAACCCTTCGATTGTAAATTTTCTACCCGAAGCAGACTATTGAATGCCAGTGCTCTTTTTCTGTTATGGTTTATATAGGAATTTATTTTAGGAGTGGTATCTTGGTGGGATGCGTCGAAACCTTATTGGAGGGAGATATCACCTTTCGAAGTTATCGCGGAGCTAGGTTTATGGCTTTCGGCTTAGCGCCTTATGGTCAGGGGTCAGGCCCGGATTAAGGGGGGGGGGGGGGGGGCTAGGGAGGGCTGCAGCCCCAGGCCCCATGGAAATAGGGGCCCCCGTTACATTAAGGAAAAAATTTTAATTTTTTGATTAAAATTAAAATTAGTTGAGATGCAAATGGTTGATGTTTTTCCCAACGTTTACATAGCGTTTAGAATATTTGTAACTATAGGTACCAATAGCAAATTGTGAATCAGAAAGATCTTTCTTTGTTCTTAAAAGAATAAAAAGTATGTACAGAACAGTGATGTTGGACGAACGATTAACATCTTTAACTCGCTTAGCAATCGAATCTGAATTACGATCGATTGATTTTAATAATTTAGTACAAGATTTTGTAAAATTAAAATTGAGAAAAAAACAATGTTAACTAAAGAATGTATTAACTTATTTATTTTCACATCACGCGCGCGTACGCGTGATAAAAAGTTTTATGTGTAACGAGTGGGGGTTTATTTGTTTATAGCGCGATACGGGCGAGAATACGCATTTGCTTCGCTCGTGCATTCGCGCTCCTCGCGCCGCGCCGTAAATACTAGCCCCCCCTCGTTACACAATGTACTATTGTCTCTAATCTTTATATGATTCAATTTTAATGTTTATTGTTTTGGATTAAATAACCTAATTGTACTGCTTTACGTATAGACGTGATCATCTTTTTTCAAAAGATTGAAAAGAAGGGCCCCCTAAAGTTAAATAGCTCCGGGCCTGCTTATGGTGCTACTAGATGATAAATATTTACTGATTACTTGTCTCACGATTCTCGAAAGGGAAATGTCATTTGTTTTTCCATTTTTGAACTTGGTCTTATTTATGGTTTGTTATCGATTTTTCCTATTAACTTTTGTCGCATCTAAAGAAAATTCTTGATGATAAATTCTTAAAAACGTATATTTATCTAATTTATTAGAGTTGTTGATTATTTAATCGAACAAAGGAATCGTGTAGTCCACCGGACGTAACATTTTCATTGATTTGTTGCACTGTAAAATGAACAAGAATATTCCTTCAAGCTTTAGATTTATTGATGTTTTTATAAAATATATCGAGATGATACTTGTCATATCTCGGATCTCTTAAAACAATGTATCTCCAGTGCAGAATTTCTCCAATTAAAGCTATGAAGCTGAGAAGATAACCAATACCGAGAGCAGTAAGGGCACCGTATAATTTTCGTAGATTTACTAATGCTGTTTCGGATTGAGAATTTTGCCGTGATTCATTGATCTTCGACCATTCCATTACGTCGCTTAGCCACTTGTGTACCAAACCAATTTCCGTCATTCGTCTCACCTAAAACGATTTATATATAAGAGAAGCTAAATAAATCTGATTTCTTAGAAAGTTGTATCCGTACCAACAAGATAAAGAAATAAAAAGTAAATATATTTGTTTTATAACTATGAATTATTAATATATATTAATTTTACTTTTTATGAGTTAATCTGTAGCTCAAATATATTATACACAATATTTTCTGTAATATAAAGAACGTTATATACATAAATATAATTTATTTGATATTTAACTTAAATTCAAGTAATAAGAAATTAATTTTATTTTATCAGATTGAATGCTAGAAGTCAGAAAGTTATATAAGTTTATATAAGTTTTATATAACACGTTCTGATAAACAAAATTATTTTTAACTAAATTAAATTAATATCCGCTCAAAAATAAATTTTTCAAATTAAACTTAATAAACCTCCCAAGTCAAGAACAAATTCGCAATATACGAAAATTAATTTATTAGAGTGGTGACAATTTGGTTGCGGCTGTTGAGGATTTTGTAAAGTCGAAACTTTTCCGTATATTGTGTCATATATATGTCTAACAACTAGTGTGGCTCGATTTGTTCTTGACCTGGGAGGTTTATTAAGTTTAATTTGAAAAATTATTTTTATGAAAATGTTTTTTCCTTTTCGCGTTTCTCAGTACGTAATAATTATAGAGCTACTAATCATCTTATAGCTATATAATATTATCCGTAGTATAACAAGCTAACGTTATTTTTACATTAGAGAACATTATATTTTGATTAAAAATGACAATAAATAGCATCAGCTTATGCTATTTTGTGGTCCTTCATAGGTAATCTGTCATAAATAAAAACTGTCACCCAAAGTACCAATAAATCCACGTGGGGTTTAAGCGGAGAATTCTTTTCCAGCCCTAACGCGATTGGCATATAGACAACGCATTCCTCCATAATATGTAGATTGTATTTGACTGATGACTCGGTGCTCTTTTCAGTTGTATTCTGCTGACCATTTTGCTTCTCAAATATTCGTTTTCCACGAGCGTGCTGTAATAAATACGAGTTTTCGTAGTAACAGAACGTCCCGTTGGCCACCCGATCGATTGCAACCTCCTCGTTTTCCGTCAACTCAAATTTATTGCCGATTTCCTGACTATGTGGATCCGAAGAGGCAAGGAAGAACTCTTTGCTCTCCTCATTCCATCCTCCTACTGCTAGCGATGACTTCGTCAGCTGTGCTAATGTATCGATGGTTACTCTGCGGTATAAAAATGAATAACATGTCGTTAATTGTGATAAAAAACAAAAATATATTTCTACTCTTAAAAATATTTGTTTTAGAAATACATCTTTAAATATTCGTTATTAATTGAATTAACTGAAAACTCGATCTTGTTATGTATATGTATATTTTAGTTCGTGATTTTGTACTTTCAAGCATCATAATAATAATATTTGAATGTATCCAAATAATATGATCTCGAGAATATTTTAAATCGATCGAAGAAAATTTATGAAAGTATATATAGATATTTAATGATTTATATAATTTTGCATAATGTATAACTGTGTAATGTAAAAAATAAAATGTTAATTTTAACTTAAAGACGTATAGTGGACTTCCTGAGATATGCGAAATGTTAAAATTAACAACTCTATTCAATTCAGTCTCTATTCCTTTCTATTCAATCAATCTTGGAGAAAGAGGAAGATTGATCATCTTTGCGCTTCTTCTCTCTCATTTTTATTGACTACATTTCCCATACACCGCATTTTATCCCAGAAATCTTCCTGGGAACGTTCTCAGAGCGTTAAGACAGGAGTCCTTTAGAACGTTCCTTAGAGATCTATGCTGTATGAATTGATATCTATCTAGATATATACAGATATGCAATATCTATTGTATAATATGTCTTTGATATTATTGTATATTGTACTTAGCGACAGGATGTGATAAGGTCGCTGTCATGCTGGCACGGTAAGTGACAGCTGCTAGGATACTGTAGATCCACCACCAGCCGATGAAGATTCTCACAGTCCAGGCATTTGGCAAACGCGGCAAGGAGACTTGGAGCAACATGCTGTATGTGTATAACATACTGTTCTGGAACTCGGTAAACAGATACAAACCCTTCATGCTGTCGTACTCATTCGCTTTGTCATGTTTCAGAGACACACGCGAGCCTATGTATTTCTGATAGATCAACGCAAACACGTGGAAAGCTCCGCCGCCAGTCAAGAGGGTGCAAAGGACTGCTATCCATGTATTCAGCCTGAACATGTAGAAAAATGTAACTTTTAATTTACATTTAATTTATTTACATTTACGTTTAAATTTAATTTATTATAGAATTATTTATTTTGATTAATTGTAATAATTATAGTTTTCGAAGTTCTGTTAATCTTTTTAAAATAATTTTCAACAAATAATTATTTGTACGATAAGTATATGGGTGTGTGTGTATCCGTTATATCAATAATAACGTACCTGAAAGGGAGTATCAGTAATTTCCATGAATTATCGGTTAATGCTTCTGGTGTTAAGAATGTAAGGCATTCTGTGTTATACGGCGTCGATAGGTCAAAATAATTCAGGTAATACAGCGTGTAATACAGATCTCCGAGAAAGAAATCGGCATTTTCGGCAATTGCTTCGCCAAGGAGACCCGTATAGCTATCGTTATCTCCCGCTTTACCCCATCTTTCATTTGCGATATTAGAAGGCATATAATAATCTGCTTTGAAATTCATTGCCTTTGATATAACTCGGATTAACTGAAATAACAAATCCTTCGTTAATCAAGATTTATGAAATTTTATATCAACAGTGAAAAGACTCTCATTAGCCCGTTGTTATTCTTTTATTATTTCTCAAATTTCTACTAAATTAATGTAGAAGTAGAACATATAAGAGGAGAACAGTTTGTATATTTATTTTCAAATGCATTAAAAAAATCTTAGACTGGACCAAGTCTAAAATTTTTTTAGCACGTATTATTATTTTAAAGCTTTTTAGAAATTTTAACTCTTTATAGTTAAATTAAACTCAATTTGCGAAAAAGTCAACAAAAAATTAATTAAATTTAACAAAGTACTTGATTCATTTAGGCTGCATTATAATATAAGTAATTTTTCACTTATTTTATAAACATTATTTTATAAATGTTATATTTGGTTTTTTGTAATTATTGTTTTTAATTTTAGCTTTTATTTTTATGTATTATTTTATTTTTCCTTTACTGCACACATTAATAATACATACTTCGAATTCAATACCCAAAGCTTTAGGACTTGCAGCATTTGTACTTTGCCGATAGTAATCTCGCGATGCTTCCGTTACAGCCGGTATATGCTCGAAAACCGCAATTCTACACAATTTTTATTAAAACATCACTGTAACACTTAATCAAATATATTAATGACGTTTTTTATTTTAGCTGTAATAAAATTTAGTAACTTAAAGATATAAAATATTATTACACATGGAATATATTTAGATGGCAGGAAAGATAAGTCACAATGAAATAAAAATAATAATAAAATTAAAATTGTAGAAGGCAAGTTTCGAGTTGAAAGAAAACAAAAAAATATGCATCACACAAGGAACGCGTGACCTACGATTTCATTTTTGTTCAAATTTGGTTTCACTATACATCCATATATAAATTCTGTCTACAATATAACTTATTTATTTAAGAGAAATATCATATATGGTCGTTATTACTATTATTTTAGCAGTAATAACAATAAAAATAGAGCCTCTAACCGTAATTATTTTATCATGCAATTGTGTAGTCATATAATCACTAAACATTTTTTCTCTCTCTCAATGCATATTAAATTCTGAACATTGAAATTTAACTTTTTTTACTTTGGACTTTGGATACATCCCAGTCAGGAATACTTAATCGATGTTGAATCATCACCGATTCGATATCGCCCGATGTTAAATCATTATTAATTCGATTGATCGACTCATTATTTGTATTATAACTGGGACAGTTGATTAATTTTTTTTACGTATATTTTTAATTTAGCATGTATAATCCGGCTTGTTTGTGTTTCTGTGACTTTATTGTTTCACACTCTTTAATTTATTTTATATGATTGTAATTTTAATTTTATTTTTAACCTATGTTTTCTGCCATTTAAATATATTAATTCTATGTATGTATATATAATATGTATGAAGAATGAAGAGGACCCAAAATTGTGATTAAAATGTTTATGCTTCTCATGTATGTAATTATATATCAGTAATTTTATTACATCTCTCTAAATTTGATTTTTACTAAAACAAATAATGCAAAATTATCGTTTTAATTATCCATTTCAAGTCATTATTATTTTTTTTATTACACTGAAAAAGATTTTGCAGAAAAGAAAGAATATGGATATATTTCATATGTAATTATACATATTTATAAATATTTATATATGTTTATACATATTTATATATTTACGAATGAAAACAATTTTTAACGACATTCGCGTCTGCTTTTATTGAAAGACTTATACTTTTCTTTCATTGTATTCTATTTTAATTTTGGAGTCTTTACTTTCTACTTTTTCTTCATGAAAATATAAAATTAGAAAATTGAAAGGGCATTAAAAGTCAAATTATAATATCAATTATTACAATAAGTAAAAATTTATAACTTTCATAATATACATATATTTACATGTAAATATATTATTATGTGTTTGTTTATTATGCATATAAATTTATAAAAAATTATAGAGATTTGGTGAGAAAATTGTGTATACACAAATGGCGAGGCACCAGCAAAGCTGCTGCTATGAAGCCTCCCAGTATAAATAAAAAGATAACAATTACGAGTATAGTACGTTGTACGACAAAAAGGCAGAGAGAACGTGTATGAACGTTTATAACTACTTATTGGATTATATACAGTGATATTAATATTACAAAGTCGATATGAATTTGTAGCACGTGAACGGAAAAAAGGAAGTGAAGGAGATAATCAGATAAAAGATGGCATCGCATTGTAAAATTTTGTGGCGGTATAAGAGAATGCGGCCTTAAATTTGGAGGTACGATGTCTGGAATAGGATAAGGAATCTTGATGACGAATGTCAGGAGTGTTATTTGAATGAAGAAAATATATGTACATATATTATGAAAGTTATAAGTAAGTTAAAAGTCTTAATACTTTTTTAGTTTAAGTCTTTAATTATATTTCTTGTAATAGTTGATGTCATAATTTAACTCTTATATTTTGCCCTTTCAATTTTATAATTTTATTTAATATCATAAGAGTCTCATCATTAATTTAATGACAATATTTAAAAAAGGTATTCTAATTGACATAAATTTATATTGTTTTCTTAATTTGCAATTCTTCTCAAAATGGAAAATTGTAATTCGTACAATCTTACTAATAAAAATCGAGATTTGTGAGGTTTATTTATAGGTTTATTAAAATGAACATGTGATGTACTAACCGCAAACTGTTTCCATAAAGATTAGTGGTTTTCGGCGTATAATGATTGTTGCCATAACGTAGTTTGCCGTCTTGCCACGTATCGACGTACTTCACCGCCGTGAAATCTCTTGAATGCGACGGATAATAGACAGTATTGAGATCAATTCGTTTCATAGGAATCCGTTCACCTGAACGATACTTGTACGTATTGTATTGCCGTAAGAATATCACGTTGACAATTCGATTCCAAATGTAATGCAATTCGGGTCTGAATAGTCGATTATCATATAAAAGTAAGAAGTAACCGCGCGTGTTGAGCAGACGTCTTCTATAAAAGTTGTAAATTTTAAAATAAGTGATTCAGAGTATAGAAGAAATTCAAAAACAAAAATTGAATTATATACTATAATATGATAATATAAATTATATAATACAATAATATGCATATATATAAATATCTCAATTATAGAACGAAATTTTGGGGGAAGCAAATTTAATAACTTAAAAAATTACACAATTATCTATAATTAATAATTCGATGAAACACATGAAAAAATCAGTTAAATTTTTATCGTCAATTTATAATATTATTAATTTTTAATTTGCATATATTTTTTAAAGGACATATATTGAATCATTTGTTGTAATTAAACTTTTTCCGATATAAAAATGTAGAATTAACATAATTTTTTAGAGAACTGTATAGAGAAAAAGATTTCTTTGGATTTAATATTTCTACTTATTGGACTGAAATATGTTTTACTGAAACAACATATGTTGTACAACGATGTTGTTTGAATAAAACAGTAATATCTCGTTTAGGTTAAACGCAGATTATATCCTCCCTTTTAAATAATTTATTTAACACGAACATATATATTGTTTTAAATTTAAATAACTGTATTTACTGATCCAAACGTTCGTTTGGACCATTCCAAATAACAAATTTGTTTAAAAGTTATTAAATCCAGTGAAATCGTTTTCTCTATACATCGGATTTATAATATGGTAGCAAATCTACATATTATATATATATATTTGATAATCTTGATCATTTACTCTTCGACATATTGCAGGAATCGTGATGTTAATAATCCATTGTTAATTAGTATAATATACGCATCGCAACCTGTTGCTTTAACATGTTGAAGCGTATTTAATATTTTTTTTCTCGGCCGTGAAAAATCGTCGTTATCACGTATAGCGATCTGAAAAATAAACATGATGCAATAATAAGTATTTCTGATAAAATACTTTTTATTGATTCAAATCTGATTTGAGATAAAGTAAAAGCAAAAAAGAATATGTAATTTAAATTTGACGTAATTATGCAGAATTAATTCAAAAACCTCTAACAATAGAGGTTTTAATATTTAATTGTAATTAATACACATTTAGCTACAACTTTATTTAAATTATATAATTGTCTGAGGACAAAAAACTTTTACACGTAATATTTTAATCGTGCGTTAACGTAATACATACACTTACGTCATATCGCGATAAAAAGGAAGATATTTCAATAGCACGCGCATCAATCAGTCCACGATAAGCAGGATCAGTAATGAAAACTATACAATTGCTGTGTGTGGCGATTTCTTCTACGATTCGTTCGACTACCAATTTCAGATCTTCCGTTTTACGTTCGCACCAACGCATTAATTCCAAAGTCCTGCAATATTATGGTTAATTTATTATAGTAGTGACACTAATAGTACTTTTTAGTCATATTTACGTCTTCCTGACGTAATAAATAACGTCAATAAGATGTGACATAATCACGTGATATATACGTCAGAATAACGTTACTTTTATGTCATAATTGACGTTATTTGTACCAAAAATTCACGTCATTATCACGTGACCTTGCTAGCTGGGACATAGAGGTATTAAAAAAAGAAACAATATTTAAATTTGTTAAATGCGGTCTGTGCTCACTGAATGATTAATTTTTATTTATTGATATATTATATATTCGTTGAGCAAGCAGGTTTCCGAAACCCATTGAAAAAAAGTAATGGGACTGTTTGGTTTACGACTGCGTCTCTTTTTTGAGAATGGAAATCACTTTATTATTATGCAATAAAATAAAAATTTTGCAGCGTCATAATTTCGCATTCGTCTAAGGTTGTTTCTTGTTTCAACAATAAATTAATTTTTTTTCTTATTGGAACAAAGAGGTACAAAGTATGCGCCTTTTAATTGCAATCTTGCAGCGCTAACTGTTATTTATCTTGATTATTTAACACAATATGGGAGAGAGAGAATAAGAAGATTAATGCAATAGAAAAATATATAATACGCGAATGTTTCCGATGCTAACAAAGACAAAAGTCGAGAAAATAAACAAAATGTAACAATTAAACTAACTAGGCACATTCTAGTCAATTCTTAAATCAATAAGTACATAAATTGAGAGTACCTAAAGATAATGATTACATTGCAATTGGGGCGCGACTCAGTGCTAATGGGATCGATACTTCACTTTTAATCTTATTGTAAAAAGAAATAGAAGTGTGCCAGAAAAGCTGCAACGACAGGAAAGCAAAACACGTCAAATTAATGGTTTTTGTACAATAAATATGTCAAATAAACATATAAAATTACATTTAACAAATATTCACTATTTGAACAAATATTTATTGAGTTTAATATATTTTTCTCTTAATATAATGATACGCAGGACGTTCATAATTCTGAAATAAAAGCACGTCTCTTATGGATTCTCTATAATATTCTTCTTTTTAACCTTTTATACTGAAAAAAATATGATCTTATCTATCTACAATTATCACAGTTTTATACCTTACAGCATTGATGCAGAATTGTGAAAAGACGACAATAGTCACCGTTATTATCGCGATACGCATATTTCGAGGAATATTTGTTCGCGCGCGCAAGTTGTCGAAGATCTTTCCTTCGCCTATCGATCTCTTGGAGCCCCTTTACTCTTTTGCAACATTAATTCTTAACGATCTCGTTTGCAGGCAATTGTGTTTGCAACCTGGATCGTCGATGGTTCTGCATAATTCTTAGAAAAGTCTGCACGAGTGTTGAATCGACACTGGTGTAACGAGCGTTAAAGCAAACGAACTTGCTCTGAATAAGTTATTTCACCCATTACAGCATCGTTAAAAATCCAAATGCAGGTATACAATTACTACTGCATTCGAATGCGTTTTCTATCGTACTTCGAGATGTACGTTTTCTTGATGGTAGTGCGAAAATAACTGCATTACCGTACATAAATTCAATTTATACGTGAATTTTAATTACCAAAGTAAACTTTCATATAATTGATGTCACGTTAATATCTTAATTTTATAAAAGTTTTTACACTACATAGTATAATGTCAGATTTATGTGATTTTGTGATCAAAGTCGAATTTATGTATATAAAGCTTTTTAAATGAGAAACTCACCTTATTAACAGAGATATAACTCCGAATTAACAATATCAGGTTTTCTTTTTGAAACAGTAATTGTGTGCATAAATAATAAACTTTATTTTACCTATTAAATAACATATTTCTATACGCGTTAATACTGCATATAGATAATTATCGATTAAATTAATGTAACTCCAAGTCTAAATATATATCAATGCCAAACTATTGGAGAGAGAAAGAGCGAAGAATTTGAGAGAGAAAAACGCAGATAAAATGAAGTGAATGTATCAGTAAATGCTTTAATACTATTTGTAAAATTCAGCTGTTATCTGTTTTGTTCGAATAAATGCATTATATGCGCTTATCAATTAGTTAAAAAACTGTATTGAATGAAGAATAGCAAATCATCGATTACGTCTTGACTATTTTATAATAAAATTCATGCAAAAATTTTTTCCACTTACAAAAAACTACTCGAAATTGCAATATTATAAAAAAGATTTGTAATAAAAAAAATTATCTTTTGCAAGTTTTTGATAAAAACTTTTGTTGCGTGATTTATAATTGAGAGGCTTCATCTCTTCTGCATAAAATACAAAAAATGTCAATAATTATGTAATTTATTACATATTTAATATATAATTCATATTTTTTTATACACATATTTGTATCTACTACAAGGACTTATACATATCTATAATGCATATAGGAACAATAAAATGATGAGCAATACTAAGATGATCATTACAAAACAGAAATGCGGTTATATTTTTTGAAAGATTAATATCGTCATATGCATAATGCATATCGCATAATGTGCATTTCAGAATTATATAATGCTAATATTTATAGACCAGTATTCATAATCGGTTTCTTATTTTAAGATTGTCTTAAGTAATGTTTTATAAGACTGATACAGCTCTGTTAATACTATGGATTTAATTATAATACGGTTGATTGGTTCATAATAAACTTAAGTTTGCAATTATGATGATCTTAAATATTAGAATCAACTAAAAATATCGGTAATAAATCTTTTTGTTTTATACATACATATTACGTGACTTGCATGTATTTGTAGAGTCTCAAAATATTGATTCTTTTTACGAATAATGTATTACTTTAATGTATGTCTGTTATACTTATACTTAATATGTGCTATGATTGATTACTCTTTTTTATAAATACATATTACGACATAAATTATTAAATTCACAATTATGTATAATTTCAATTATAAAACAAAAAACTATAGTATGTGACGCAGCACATTGATAAAGCAAGCAATAACTGATGAGATTATCGGTTTTTATTCAAATCGATCGGATAGGTATTATGGAACTATGTATTTGGAATAGATATCAATTCAAATTATTACATTTTTCCTAGAAAACACAATAAAAATCTAGGGAATAATTGAACAATGCAAAATCCTTTCTAAGCAATTTTATAATAAATGTCCGTGGCCGATATTTATAATTATTTATTATATTTAAGACTAGCTGTCTTAAGTACAATCTTAAAGACGACATAATCCAATCACATGATTACATCTTATCTTTTTGATTAATATAAATGAAATTAATTTTATTTATGTTAGTAAGAAAAGATAATACTGAGACACTTGACGAGAAATTGTCAATTTATTTAATTATAAATAATTAATTTCAAAGAGATTTTGTGGATTGAATTAATCGTCAATTAAGTTAATCGGTGTTTGGTTGAAGTTATTCTTATTTTTTTTATATAATCGAAAAAGATTTTAAGGTTTTAAATGAGAGTTCCGTTAAATTTTTTTTAACATCCGGGATGAATGAGAAATTTCGCTCGATACCAAATCAAATTTTATTTATATCTTGTGTTTACATCAAGTGGAAAGAAGTTTAAACCATTGCGTTTTCGTTTCTCTTATCCAAAGCATTACGAGTGATCTAATCTCAGAAAAAAGGAAAGTGAAAACAATGATACCGTCATTTTATCAATAGGTATAATATACATGTATCGGAGTTTGATAACTTATTGAATCTTTAATTCAAAGTTTCTTCAACATTAATATAATAATATATATTTATTACTCATTATTTTTTACAATTGTAATAATATCATCTATAAAAAATGAACAAAGGTTATCATGTTTTATGGTTTTTGCTAGTGCAAAAAGAACACTTTGCTGTTCTAGCTAGTAGAAATATCGTTGTTTTTTCTATCTAGAAAGATAGATATTCTGATAGGTAATAAGAATTTGTAACACAATATTTAAACAATATATGCAAGATAATTTTAATCTCTTAATTAAGTATGAGTTACTGCAAAATATGAATATAGTCACTTTTATATTTTATTATTTGATTAATTATACAAAGACTTTTTTGATATATTTGATAAATGGTTCAGATATAAATTCTGTCTTTGTCATTTTATATTGATCACATACAAAACATATCCAATATGGTAGTGTTTATTAGTCACTTATCTATATTTTAGCTAATTTTTCATATCTATAGATAATTGTCGCTGTAACTGCAAGATAATTTTTTCAGTCTTATTACGCTATTTAATCAAAAGTAATGTTTAACGCTCTTAAATAATTATTCGAGATCTATATCTTTTCGTATTTCACAAATTTTGGCTTAATTATAGCAAAAAAAATTTTTATGAAAAAGTATAGAAAAGCTACATAGATTAAGACGAGATTTTAATGTTAGAAATTCGTAATTTTTCGTAAATATTCTTAGTGAGACGTAGAATGAGATTTAATTATCTTAAAGATTCTTAGTTTTTCGTAGATACTTGTAATGGAACGTAGAGGGACGTTGTTTGTTTCGTGATATAAGATACAAAAAGAGATTGCGTATAAAAACTCGTAATACAATGTCAGAAGATATAAATAGAAACAGCAAAAGATTTCTTGATTTTTCAAATGAAAAACGCTACTACATCTCATTACGAATATCTATGAGAAACTAAGAATTTCTAAGATCTTGTTTCACAATCTATATTTGTGTAAAAATGTTTCAGCCAGAGTTGTTAGAAATAACAGGTAAACGCTCTGAGCCCTGTTTTCGTAATCTATGATTACGAATTTCATGAATTTCATTGATAAATCTCTTGATAATCTTTAATATTTAGACCTGGGAGGTTTATTATTTTATAATTTTTAATCTTTAAGTATAACGACATATTATGAAAACGGGCCTTATAGGTAAAAGTATTGCAGAAATATGTATAATAAGGGGAAAGTTACTTTCTAAAAGCAACTCGTTACTTTTATTTGTTACCAAATTAAAAAAATAATTAATTACTATTACTGTGTTGCTGATTCACACACAAAAATAACTTT